GAGACAATTGTAAAATCTCGCAAATTCTTTGGAACTTTGATTTTTAATTAAACGATGTGTGAGCATTTTAAATGAAAAATAGATAAGAGGTTCACTCTTTTGTGTAATACCTAATGTGAATAACGATATGCAAATCTCTGGGTGTTGGGCATTGATATAGATGAGTCACGCAATCCATATATTATATATTAATAAGTTCTCCAGCTGGCCAAGAATTTCAGTTCAGTAAGCAACTGCTATGATTGGCTGCCTTACAGCCAAATCCTACTCCCATGCTGGTGCAATGAGAAGCATTAGAGGCGGAGCCAACCACATCCCCTGATTCATGGATTCTGCCAGCAATGGTAGGATTTCTCCAGATGAGCAGAGGGTGCTACAAAACATTCTTTGCTTCTCATCTGGAAGATGCCAATGGAACAGGCTTCATCTGTAGCCAGTTTTATCTCAGCACGAGATGGAGGAATGGTGAGAACTTGTCCCCTTAGTAAGATTTGCATCTGCGTATAAAGTCTTATTTTAACACCGCCACCTTCTTAATGGCTTCTTTTCTGGCATGGAATATGTCTGCACTGTAGGGAGGTGTAATTACAGTGTATGTCAACATATTTAGGCCAGGTCTATACTAAAGGGAAAGGTTGAATCAAGATATTCAACTCTAGCTATGTCAATTATGTAGCTGGAGCTGACATACCTTGATTTGAGTTTCCCCGCAGTCCCCACAGCAAGGGGCCAATGGGAGCCAATGTTCTTCTTGACTTCCCTTACTCCTTGAAGGAGCAGGCGTACCAGCTGCCTACAGGGTTGCTCTCTGAGTTTGATGTAGTGGGTCTAGTAAAGACCCACTAAATCAAACTCCAGAAGATTGATCCCAGCAGTGTTGATCTTCCCCAGAGTGAAGACATGGCCTTAGGAACTAGAACTAACTAGATTAACGCTAACTTGAGTAGTAAAGCAGTGATGCCATAGGACAAGCAGCCTCTTCAATATCCAAGTAGGGTCCTGCATGGGCAGAGCTACTTTACTTTACTGCTACTGCATCATATCTCCCAACTGCAGTGGAGCTAGACCCTAGCCCTGCAATGCTCTAATAGGCCATCAGTGCAGTCTGGGTGCTATAAGACCTATAGAGACCAAGCACAATAAAAGTGAAATGGCGTCCTGTGGTCCAAGGCTCTGTGAAAAAGTGCTCTGGGTGTTGCATAGATTTTTCTGTAGATGTGGGGACTAGGAGGACTCCGTGTATCGATGTTTGCAGAACGTGTTTCACCCCAGGCATATTTGTATTTATATCCTTTGTGACAGTGCTTTGAAAAGACAAGTTGTTCCATCAAATAAAGTCTCTTACACATTCCTCTGACGCATCTGCTACTGGTCACTGTAGGAGGCAGGATATTAGATTAGATGGATCACTGGATTGATCTGCCGTGGTCAGTCTTATATTCCTAGTTGAATACAAACGACAGAGGCTGTTTTCTTCTCCTCACCAAACTTTCACATTAACAAGATCAGTTTATTTTTCAATTTTGTCAGCATGGCAAAGCTGGGAACTACAGCCATAACTTGCAAATTCAGAATGCATCAATCTGTCAAGATGAAGAATGCCAGCCCCATGTACATACATTAACTATGTTTCACAAGCCGAAATACTATACCGACAGCAATTTATTTAATCTTTCCCATGTTGTTAAATGAATCACTTTGTGCTTATAGAAATCACACATCTCTTCAGAATATTGGTGTTTCTTTCATTTGTTTCTGTGAGAATCTGTTAGATTAGTGAGCAAGAAACATCCAGTAGGAACATGTTCCAGCAATACTGTAAAGGGCAAAGACTGTCATTTTTGATAGACCACATCTAGCCTTTTCCTTTTTTCACATTGCTCCAATTGTCTTTTTCCATTAAAGTCAAACATAGTTTGAACATAGATTCCATGCCAGGAATCACTAAAATATTTTTACATTGATGTGCATCCTGACTGCTGGGCAAACAGCACAATAAGAACTTAAACCTGACATCTATAGAAATTGCAAAATGTAGTTAGCTGGAGGACTAATTCACACTCAGATCAGTGAAGGACATTGCAGGCTGGATCTCTCTAGTCCAGCGCTCTCTAACCTGGCAACATCCGTGGTCCAGCATGATTTTAGTTTGCCAGGTGTCCACTTATCATGGGTGTGGCCAAGTTTCCCAAGGCCCCATATGATTTTTTTACAGCCACCAGTCCTGGCTCTGTGTTCTGTGCTGTGATTTAGCTCTCATTTATCTCTAAATGTCTTCTAAGAGCCCAGTATGCAGTGGAAATGTGGATAATGCTGCTAGAAAATATTAACCTTTCTTGGTTCAGCAAATTGTCTGGTTCATCCCCGGTCAGGTTCCCAGGGTGCTGGACTAGAAAGGTCCAACCTGTAGTCAGCATCTCACAGAATTGGTTCCTAAGTGAGAATGCAAATTAGCCTGAGTATTTCATATAATCTTTTCCTATATTGTCTTGGAGTGAGTGAGGCTGAGCAATTCTACATTTGGATGCATATTGTTGTTGATTGGTCGATCCTTTGTCTCTTTGTTAGGCCATTAATCAGGGGGATGTGAATAAATGTAGATATATAATCTATACATCAAACTATCAGTATGTAATGTAAATAGATAGCATTATGTTCTCTAAGTAACTAAAGATAGTAAACATACTAACAATAAATAATGACGATTTTCATGAAACCTCATTTCGCGTGCTTTCATAACACTCATTCTGTTTCCCTTTCCATTTTTTTCCTCTCATTGTTTTCTGGGGAAACAATCTTTTTCTCAGATCAGAGCTGCAACTTTTCTTTCCCTCACTGTACCCTAGATTTTGAAAAAATAACAAGGAGTCCTGGGGCACCTTTTTTTCGAAAGATACTTTCGAAAAAGCCTCTTTCGAAAAAGAGCAGCTAGACTACAACCAGTACTTTTGAAAAAAGCAAGCTGCTTTTTTGAACGAGAGCACCCAGGCAGTCTGGATGCTCTCTTTCGAAAAAGCACAGTTTGCATTACATAATGCCTTTTTTCGAAAGAGCACTTTCGAAAAAAGGCATTATTCCTCATAAAACGAGGTTTTCCACGGTCAACAAAACCGCCGCGTTCTTTCGATTTACTGTCGACAAAACGTAGTGGCAGTCTAGACGCAGGTAAAGATTTTTCAAAAAAAGGCCACTTTTTTCGAAAAATCCCTGTAGTCTAGACACACCCTATCAGATTTATTTGGGCATAAGCTATTAGGGAGATATACCTCTGTGATTGCCACTCCATGCCGCCGACAAAGTGGTTTTTACCCACGAAAGCTTATGCCCAAATAAATCTGCTAGTCTTTAAGGTGCCCCAGGACTCCTTGTTTTTACAGATACAGACTAACATGCCTTTCCCTCTACATTTTCAAAGTGACTAGTGATTTTTGGGAGCCCAACTTGAAACAATTTAAAGGGTCCTGACTGTCAAAGGCTGAATATTTAGCATTTTATGGAACTCCAACTCAGGCTGAGTTGTCCATTCTGTTTCAATGTAAAAATCATCAACTGCTAGCATGACTGGCACAGACAGTTCTTCTCAATAAAATGTAGTCCATTTACTGCCTCCTGGTCTTGATCCAATGCCAGGTCCAAGTCTTTTTTCATTGATGTCAGCTCGAGCTCCAGTTGTTTATCTTCTTTCTTTGGAGCTAGAGACATAAGAGGCTCTTCAGCAACACCCGCCAGCCGTGCTGGGGTGACATATGCACACAGGAAAAAATCCAACCACTATCTTTGCCTATTCAGGGAACAGGCAAGATTCCTCCAGATCCACTGGTAGTTGCTGCTGCTGCTTCAGCTACAACTGGCAGGCAAGCAACTATCTGGCCTGGCAACCCAAACACCAAATGAACCTTTTGACTATCTAGCACAGTATCCCTTTTCCAAAAAAAAATTATAAGTACCCCCAGTACTGACAGTTTTCAGACACACATTTTTTTTCTACCATTGCAACACATTTGTTTAACAACTTAATCGTAGCTGGGCAGGCAATTAAATTTTTGGGTGTAAAAAGTACAAAAATAATAAAGCACTGTAAAACTTTAAACAAAAATTCAGTTTTCTCCAAATTTCAGTTGTGTTGACATACCTCCCCAGATTTCTCTTGAGTACCCCTAAGGATACTCATACCACTGGTTGAGAAACACTGGTCTAGTATAGCTAAAGTCATGTCTCAACACATACTTATCCAGAAGCTGATACCTTGGAGAGAAAAGAGGGACAACAGAGTATCTGTTTTTCATTTGATTAAAAAAAAATTGAGAGCGAGGGAAAAGAGATGTCTTTATTATTCTTTATCAGTACTTTGAGTTTTAATCGTTTTTTCAGAATTTTGCTAGATATAACATTATTCCTACCTTGCACTTATACATAACTTTTACTTGAGGAGCTTTAAATGCTTTATGAACAGCACATGATACTTTTAATTAACATCCATGTGAAGTGGGTATTATTATGCCCCTTCTACAGAAGGATAGACAGAGGCACATAGAGGAGAACAGGCGCTTGCCTCTTGCTCACAGCTTAGCTTTGCTAGCCATGTTTTGTCCATTGTTAGCTGACTACAATAGATGTAGTTACTTTCTTACTGCCTCATGATACTGGCCAATTTTGGAATAGAACCCTGAACCCTGCAGGGAGAAAGTCCTCTTCTTTAAACAACTAAGTAATCATTCCTTTCATTACCACCCTTTCTACTGGTTGCCATATCCTTGTCCATGTGATACTGTTCCGAGACCATTTAAATGACAGATAACATGAGAATTTTATATGGCTACTATCCACTGCACATTTTAGTTCACACGGTAATTTCCCCTTGTGCCTCATGGCTATTTTTCCTTATAGTCTTTTATGCTGAACCTTATTGAAAGCTTTTAGCAGTAGAATTTTCACAGTTATTTTCCTTCACTGGCATCCATGCTTATTTATCTAACCTCCTCTCTGTATGTCGTCCTTAGGTAACCCACTAAACATTGCCTGCAAAGCGTTCTTTGGATTCAGCGGTGAATCAGGCCCGATGATCTACTGGATGAGAGGAGAAAAATTCATTGAAGAATTAGAAGGTCACATTAGAGAAGGGGAAATCAGGTACTTATTTTACTGCTGCGAAAAGGGTATGACTCAACAGAGAATGTTTTTAACGGGTTTTTAATTTAAACTGAAAATGATTTTCTTGTCTAAAAAGTGATGGATGGCTGGGAACCAGGGCAACATTAGCTCGTTCTCTTCCTTGCTTCTGAATAAACCCTAAAGATAGGGTGACTATCCATGTGTTCTAAGGATATGTCACCAAATCCCCTAGGCTTCCACTCACATGCTTCTAGATGTGCTGGGGGTTGGTTCTGGCCTTTAACTATAATGATATTGTCCACTACATATTCCCCGAGTGGCTGCTCTTGGGAAATTAATGTTATTTTCAGTATCGATGTTAATCCTAAAGATGGATGGCTACCTGCCAGAGCTTTCCACACTGTTTCTCTTCTACTTGCCCAGCAGAGCTATGTACAGTGCACATAACTTAACCAGTGCCTTCTCTGGGCGTGTGTTTGTTCTTCTCTGCAAAGAAACAAGTAAGTGTGAGGTTTTGGTTACCCAGCTTACGCCTTTTTTATTTCATTGGACATTCAAATTGCTGACCATTGCTTATTGTAAAAGTTTTAAAGAAAAGAACCCTTCATAAGGAATGTCTCCATTAATTTGTATGAGTACCATTGAACCTCGTAGTTCATGGAGTTTGTACATAACTACATTCCATAGCCGTCCCTCGTTAATAATTCCCTGACTAACAGCTTCTTGAGTAATGTTCACATCTTCATCTATGTTCGCTCAGCTCACAATGATTAAAGGTCTAGAAAACTTGACCTGTGAGGGAAGATTGAAAAAACTGGGCTTGTTTATTTTGGAAAGGTGAAGACTAAGTGGGGACATGATAGCGGTTTTCAAGTATTTAAAAGGGTTTTGCAAGGAGGAGGGAGAAAATTATTCTCCTTGGCCTCTGATGATAGAACAAGAAGCAATGGGCTTAAATTGCAGCTAGGGAGGTTCAGGTTGGACATTAGGAAAAACTTCCTAATTGTCAGGGTGGCTAAACACTGGAATAAATTGCCTAGGGAGGTTGTGGAATCTCCATCACAGGAGATATTTAAAAGGAGGTTGGATAGACACCTATCAGGGATGGTCTAAATGGTGCTTGGTCCTGCTGTGAGAGCAGGGGATTGAACTTAATGACCTCTCGAGGTCCCTTCCAGTTCTAGTATTCTATGATTCTGTGATTCTATGACAATAGTGCTTCCAATTCTCATTGACAAATAATGAATAAAAGTACTAAGAGAACCCATCTCTCACCTGTTTAAGAACCCATCTTTAACTGCCAATGATCGTGCTCCCTCCTGTTGACAAGGATGCACTTTACTCCAGAAGACAGCTTGGTGATGGCATTAAACTAACAGTGAACCCTTAGCAAAGAATGAAAGTGATTTCTTTATCGGTTGGCTTCTCAACTTCTTTGATTGAATTGAAAGTTGAGTACGTTGCATTTTTTGTTCTGTTGCCCCCTAATTGTTCCTCTTAACAAATTTCACATTTCCCCCCAATTATAACCCTTTCACTTGGCATATAAACTCATAGCAATGCAAGTGTGTCTTCTCTTCAGTCCATTGAATAGCATCAGAATAGCCTCTCTTGTCTTTCTATACCATGAGCAACATTAGAAGCTCAGCTCTTGCCACCACTCCTGTTCTGTGATAGTAGGTGCAGAGTTCATGCCTTTTCTTTAATTCCCACATAGCCCCAGGAACCAAATGGTAACGATTTGAAAAAGTTGACTTTCTCATGATGACTGACCACTGTTGTCTCAGATTGACCAGACTCTCCGGGTGTGTCTAAACTACATGGCTCCGTCCCTGTTTGTCAACAGATCGGGGTAGTCTGGACGCGCCGCGGTCGACAAGGAAGCCTTTGTCGACACGAGGCATACCTGCGCCGGTCGACAAAGGCTTCCTTGTCGACCATGGCGCGTCCAGACTGCCCCAATGTGACGACAAACAGCTGATCATCTGGTTGGCGGAGCGCGGCAGCCATTTAAATTTAAATAAAGCCGCGATTATTTAAATCACGGCTTCATTTCCCTCTGCCGATCAGCCTAATCTACATGTCTCCATCGACGGAGCCATGTAGTTTAGACACACCCTCCTTGTTTCACCCAAAACACTGCTGTCGTGTTAGCAGCACTACAAGCTGGCCCATATCTTCTGTCCAAGCTTTTTCCAAGACAGAAGAGATGCAACTGTTGCTTAGAAATTGATTTGCAGTTGTAAGCCCTGAGTATTTGACACTTTTCCTACAATCCTGCTATTAATGCAGAAGCCATCATCGTGTCCCTTGAAACTTGTAGTAACTGGACACAGATACAATCAAACCAATGAGTCACCAGTCATTTTCTCTTTGCTAACAATCTACAGCTGTAGCTCTGCCCTGTATCTCCAAGAAGTCTGAAGCTTTTCCAACTTAATCTGAGTCTTCCCAGGCTACTTCAGATGTTTTTCTCTACAAGATTTAAGCTACTCCCTTCTGTTCTGAAGAGAATTTAATGTAGCTGGTGAGGTCTTTTGTACACAGCCATATGACACTCCAGAGAATCTATGATTTTCTATTGACAGGGAATTAATCTGTGCTTTCTTAGCTCACTACTGTGTGTACTCAGATATTTTCCTTCTGAAGTTGTATCCATGGGACTCTTTGCATGGGTAACTGCTGTTCAGCTCCGGTAAGGGCTGTAGAATTGGGTGTAGAGTTATTTATCAAGGGGTTATGTGTCAACATGGCAAAGAGCGGGAGGTCTGATCACCATGAGGTAGTGATTAGCATTGCTGGGACAAACCAAAGTAGGGCATTCTTTTCCTAAGTGGGACAGCCCCTTTCCTACCTGTCACCGTTGCTTTCCCCTTGAATTAAACTCTCCAAAGAATAGAAAACTGTAGGGAAGGGAAGGCGAACGGGATGATGAGACCTTCCCCATGTTCTTCTTGCCCAGGGGTGGGATTTCCTCACTGTAATAAAAATGTCAAGTAAAGTGAAGCAGAGCTATTAAATAAGGAATAACAGTCTTTGAGCCTGCCTGCAGAGTTGTGAATTGTATCTGATTATCCAAGGAGTTCCCAGTGAATTTCAGTTCTGTTGCTTGGCGACAGCAGAGAAATATTGTCCACTATAAATCGTACCATATAAATCACCCTATCAATTGCTAATATTTTTGTCCTCCTGCAACACCATAAAAGAGTGTACAAATCCCTTATAAAGCTTGCCTTGGAAAATATATTTGTCTTTTTTTCCCTCCCCACAAGAAGCTTCTTGGTTTTTAAAATGGAAATAATTTCATTCCTATTCAATGCATGAAAAGATGTGAATGGGGACATTTGAAATTGAAAGCCTCATTTTCCCTCCTTGATTAGCCTCGCTCCCTGCACCCTCGCCCACACAAGTCAATTAGCAGGTGCAAAACGCGTGGAGGATACGTGAAGCTTGCATTCCGCTATGAGAAAGGTACCAAAGGAAGCACTGTTCCTCCTGCTATGTAGCCAGTGTGTTGGGGTATGGAATAGGATGTGATTGCTGCTCGCGTAGGCATGCCTGAGCTCCCATTAATTTAGCTAGTTCAGGACCCAGAGCAATGAAGCCACGACAGCTGGAACTTCGGCATGGACTAGCCAGCCAAGTGGCTGTGCCACGAAGGTTTCCACAGCTCATGCCTGAAATCTGTGCTGTGTCAGCTTCACCTTTCCTGGACAGACATGCCCTTAGGTGCATTACAGGGCCAACAACAATGGAGGAGAGGGCTAAAGGGGACAGTTGCCCCAGAGCCGGCCTGGTGATTTTAAAAGGGGCTGGGACTACAGACCACCACCACCGCTACCATGGCAACAGCAGCCATGCATGGTGTGGTCCAGGTAGTGCTGAGGGCTGCCTGAGCCCCTGCCCCTTCCATCCAAGGCCCCGCCCCTTTTGGGAGCCCGGAACTGAGCCTCCCCACATTGCAATGAAACCCACCAGTCCTCTTAGGTCAATTAGCTTCTGTTTGGAGGCGTTTTCCTATCTAGCCCGTCCTCTACAACCTATCTTTTCTGAGGGAACCGCTGTGAGGGGGTTGTGCCTTTTAGAAGCAGTGGCCCAGACCCTCGGCTGTGTGTGAGACGTGTACCTCACAGGGTGGCAGTTTGCTGCAGACGTAGCTGTGACTTGTTGATTAGCGAAAGCCCTGATCCTGCCCAGAGATCCATGTGCGTGTACAGGACTGGGGCCTCATAGACTTGTGACTCGGGTTAAAATTCTTCTGTTTTTCCCAGAAAACATCCCTCTGCCCATTCACCGGCCCCGTTACAGAACGCTGCCTCTCCGCGACGGCACATCTTGTACTAGTCTGTTAGCATGTAACGCACTGAAAGGAACTTAGCCAGTGCATGAGCTCTGTTCTGAGATCGGGCCCGCCGACGGGAGGGAAGGCAAAGGGGGCAGTTGTCTGGTGAGGGCCTGCGGGTCTGGCCACCGTTGCTGCTCCTGTGGCAGGAGCCGGAGCCTGGGGCCCTTTAAATTGCCATGGGAGCGCTGCACCAGGCACGGCACGCAGCTCTGATGCGGGGGGGCACACCACATTCGGGGCAGTGCTGAGGACGGACTGCCTGGACCCTGCTACTTACACCTGAAGCCCTGCCCCTTCTAGGTGCGTGAAGCTGAACACCGCCCCCCTTGTCCAGGGGTTTGCAGTAGCTGTCAGCCCTGCTGGCTTGCAAAAAGAAAAGAAAAGGTCCCATGAGGAGCTTCCTGTACCTTGCTGCCTTTACCCCTCCCCCCCAC